CAGGGATGAAGGTGAGGCTGACCGGTCTAGTGAAAGCCATTAAATACATTTCAATAGCCAGCAAATAATTTTCATTTATTCTGTACTTTCAACATTACCTCCTGCATATAAATGATGTGTCAGGACTGTTCCAAACCTCAATGTCTCCCCAGTATCACAATAATACATTGTCTGAATTGGAAATTGCACCTCTGCATCTCTCAGTATCTGAAGATTATGGTACCTTTTTCTTAAACTGCAGACCTCATTAGCCCTCCACATGCCCCTTAGTAACAAGCTCTGCAAAACTTGTGCTAGCATATTTTATTTTTTGCATGTACTATATACACTCTGTATCTGCACAGGCACTTTATAAACTCAGCATCAACATTTTGTCCCTTTATAGGAGGGCTTCTGAAAACCTCAAACTAGTTCTTGTAAGCACATCTGTATAAAAGCAAAGGGAATACACAGCTACATGAAGAACACAGAGGAAGGGAGTCAATGCTCCCACATAGAGGGAGAACATGGTTTGCCTTGCTGTGTCTTTCCCCTCTTCTTTCCTTTTAACTCCTCACTAGGTCAATTACTTTCGTTGGACTCTTTGGAGAACCGTTTAGGGGTTTATAAAACTACCTTGCCAGAGGTATATTATGAGAATTTCAGACAGGTCTTAGGCAGCCTGTGTATACTTTTGGTTATTATTTTCATCACAGGGAAGAATCACCAGACTTTTACAAAGGTTCTCAGGTAGTTGCTCCAGACCCTGCATATACTTTTGTAGTCCCTTAAGAAGCTCACAGATTTTAGCTACGGCCCTGACAAAATCTTATTGCTCAATTAACTTTGTGAACAACTTTGTATTGGAGGTTAAATAGCAACCCTGCTCTCAGCAAATCTCAATGCTTGCCAAATAGTCTTCATCATTACACTCTAGACAAGCTGAAGTTTACCAACAAAGACACAGACACATATTTAGTGTTCCTTTTCTGTTTGTTTTTTCTTTTTTAAATTAAAAATCAAAGCACTTGGAAAGCAAAATAAGAGTTAAAAAGACAAATCTTATTTCCTGATAAGATGAAATGCAACTTGGCCCAAGGCAGAATACACAAAACTGTTGACATCTAAGCCAACTACAATCTATTTTTCAAACCAGGACAAAATGCTTTAGGAGCCTGTGCAGTATGTAAAGACCTGGATCAGGGCTAAACCACTCCCATAGCTAATATCATGCACAGTACATTTGGATGAATATGAAGCCAAATCAGTCAGATTTAGCTTGTTTTGTGTATTCAAACAATTAAAGTTTTATAAAAATATGCTATGTGGATACTACAGATCAGATTTCCACCTTACGGCTTGCTTCTCTGGTAACTGTTGTCAGGCAGTCCTGTTTTCTTCTCTAACATAAATTTATTGACTAGCACAGCCAGTCACTGATCAGCATCTTAGTTCCCAGCAACAACTTTGCCACAACTCTCTTTCATCCTCCACTAGAGGGTTTTGGTAGCTTTATTACACCAGCTACAGCATACTGCCATGCTTTTTACTTATAAGGAAAATGCAAAGACCAAAAAATATTTACTTGGCAAATGTCACATTTAATTGACAGAAGGTAGCAGGGCATAGAGTAAGAAGGCAGGTGACTTGGTTGGGAGTGTCTTGTGCACTCAGAAAGCAAGCTGGAGTCTAAAATTCAGGGCTGAAGTGGGACTCCAGATTTTACAGGTCTGTGCAAGTACGACTAGAAGCAGTGAGCCTGCACTTTTCCTGCCAGGCCATGGTGACTGAACTACTCCCCCCAGACGACTGCAGGTGGCAGGCCATGGTGGCACATGAGAGGTGGAGTTCTGCAGTGACTGACAGAAGTGCTGCAACATCATGGTATGAAATAGGTGCATCTTCAGGGTGTGGGAGGCAGGATATGGAAGATGAGATTTTCATTGTAAAACTGCACACTCATCACGTTATACATGCAGCATATGTGCAGGAGATGAAGAGACAAAGATCTAAGAAGCTTTACTACTGCCTACCCTTACTAACACTACTCAACACAGACCCACATCTCCTCCATCACAGTCAACAAGGCATGTAGACATATTAAAATGTAACTGTCTGAACACACAAACAAACATGCTTTACCTATCAGGGCTTCAAAGCAGTTGGCCATGGCGTGGCGAAGATCCGACTCCCTGCAAAGGTCTGGACCATGAGCATAAAGCATAAATCGATCTAGTTCCAGCTTCTGCAGAATACGTGGAAAGAGTTAAAACCATGGCTTTAGAAGTACAAGAGCACCAGTTCAAGTCACTAGAGTTCAATTACACTATTATTATGCAGCAATTGGTTTCGAGGGAACTTTAAAGCTTTTCTCCACAGTTTCAGTTCAGACATAGGCTAAAATTAGAAGACTTTATACTTGTTTATCAGGGGCAAGCAACTAGAGTGTGACAGCGTGGGAAAGCTAGGAAATATCAAACCAAATTGCCAAGGGAAAGCCAGATCAAAACATGTTATTTGTGAGATTTAGGAACAAGTTCAAGAGGAGGGCAGAAGGTGTGACAGAAAAATAGCCTGATATTGGCTGGATGGTGCAAGGTGCTATGTTTCTTGCTGGTAGTTTGCCTTCGTGATTTGCCTTCAGAAACGCCAAGGGGGCATTCAAAAGGAGGGGAATTAACACTAAAGAAGAAGATTTTGCCTACAAGAAGGTAAAGTAGAACAGTGAGGAACAAGAACTCTGGTAGACACAATCCATTAACGTCTGGCTTTTTCCTCTAAGACTGTCAACAGGTGGCAGTAAAAAAAAGCCTCTGGGCACTGCAAACAGAAGACTGAAAATTTAATCTGCAGTGCCATCTAGCTTTCTTTTTTCTTTCAAATGTGCATCATTAACATTAAATTCTCGCCTAAACCATAGTTCTTCTTGCTAGTCAGAATCTCAGGTAGTAAGTCAGATATCCTATATAACATAAGACAATTCCGCTACAGAAATGCAGGCAAGAGGTACTAGAGTCTCTTTACATATTCATCTTTTTAACACAAAACCATTACAGAGATTTTTCAAGAAGAGATTTGTGCATCTTGCGAAGTTTGTAAGAGAATAGGTTTTTGCCAACTGGGTGTAAGTTTCTGCTGAATTATTTCTCATTAACCTTCAACTTCATCCTCCTGGAGTATATTTAAGCATGGAGACAAGTTGTTTGAGGTGTGTGGTTTAGACACATTTCAGCTGTAAAAAAAGAATCTTCCATTTTCAACGAATGAGAGCCTATTCGCTGCTCCAGAACACAGGGAATTACCACTTATGATATTCCATCACACTTTATAAAGTACAGGGAGCACTCATTAAAGTCAACATAAAAGTGGAATATTAATTGACTTATATCAAATCCAAACTTCTTTCAGATTATTGTCATTTGTTTATGTTAACAGGTGTTGGTGTGTCTCCCCTACCTCCAATGGCTTATCTCCATTTTCAGAGCTTGCAGGTTTTTTTGCATGCGATTTCCTTCTCATTTTTGATCACATTTCAGATTATTTTTAAAATTTCTGCTACAATGTCCCTTAGAAGCTATAGAAGTTTATTGCTTGATCCTCAATTAAAACAGCATTCCACATCACAAGAGAAGTTGAGGAACTGAGGATTATATTGAGTAAGTAAACTGAATGCAACATGACACTGCAGAAGATAATTAAAGGGGATGAAACCATGAACATCGTATGATATACAAGAGCAAAAGGGTAAAATCAGGAATATACAGATATCTAATATAGACAGTTGTATCTAATATAAATAAATACAGTTTTTTAAAAGTTGCAATAAAAATATTCAAAATTTGTCCACATACAACTATAAAGGCTGTGAACAGAGCTTTAAGAATACATGAGCTTTCCTGATGCAGGTTTCAAAACAGTAACATGAATTCAAATGCCCGGTAGTTCAATACCATATTTGTAAACAGAACCTTGACTTGAAACATTTCAACCAATTCACGTTTATCTAAATCATTAAAGAACGCTTTGGAGGAAAACTATTGTGTTCACTCCTGTGTATGCCTCTTGTGAGAACTGAGCAAAAAGATATGTTAGAAATCATGCAGTTTTTGCCAGAATCTCAAAATTGGTTATGTTTGTTTAAATTACTGCATGAATATGAGCAGAGAAGACTAAAAGAGCACTTGAAAGCTACCAGCAGTACACAGTGGACATGTGTGCGTGCATGTATGCAAGCACAGCTTAATACATTACATCACTAAGTCTCAGACTTTTTTTTTAAAAACATGCTAACAAAATCAAGTATGAATAAGGGAATATCAAATTATCTATGAACAGAGACTTAATCAACTTTCTGTATCATATTCCCGCCCTGAGTATCATGTAGAAATGTAAAAAGCTCTGTCATTCACAGAATTAAATTAAATAAAATTGAGAGGCATCTCAATTTTTTCCCATGAGATACTACAACTTTTCACCAAAAGCCTTTCACAGTTCACAGTGAATCTGAAAATGACTGTGTAGGCTAGGGAGCAGACAAAATGATTTTCCCCCCACTTTCTCTACCACCTTCTGCGAAGTTCTCCCTACATATTCTATCAGGAAGTCCTTTTTACAAACAACAGTTTGTTTCTTTTTCTTCACTAAACTTTCACTATCAGCTTCATTACCTGTGCAATTTAGAGGTAAATATAGACACAACTTCAACAAAAGCATCCTAAAAACTTTTCCTTCTGCCTGCAAAAATTACTCTTCCTAAAAACACAATTTGGAGAAAACACTAAGTTGTACTTCACCTTTAAAATCTATTTTCAAACTGAAAAGAGTCCCTGTATCACAAATCTTGTACACAAAACACTGATGTTCAAAGTAGGTAGATCCCTCAAGAAGCTATCCACACACTAATAGTATCCTACCTACAGGCATCAAATACAGAGACGTATAAAACTGTACCTTAGCCAACATGGCCAGGTGTTGGTTCTGTACGATAGCAGTGCGGTATGTAGCTAATCCTCCCTCCTCCAGAGTGGGAAACAGGTAGTACAAGTGGACACTGGCAAAACAAAAATCAAATCAGATGCTGTCAGCATTTGGTTAAAGATGAACTGTGTGTGACTTTAGGGAACTGTGCTTTTCCCTCAGATCCTAGCTGGTAAAACAGATCCCTTCCCAAGGCAGGAACTCAGCTTGAAGTAAGGTAAAGAAACAAACATTATAACAATGCTCAATAATATTTGACTTGGTAGCATTGGCAGAAGGGCAGGTAGAGTGCTGTTTCTCTCCTGGGCAGCACGTAATTTTTAAATCCCTGCAACGACACGCAGTTCCCTCACATCCAAAGGTTTCTATCTATCAGCAGCAGTGGGTTCAGCAAGGTTGACACCTAGAGGATGCTGAGGAATAAAGCACAAGGGCACTGTCAGTCTTAAGAAACACAGCGCCACAGGTATGAAGTGCTTTAAGATGACACTACTGATTCAGGCTGGACCACCACTCGGGATACTTGTTTTACAAGTTTCTTACAGTACTTTCACAGATGTTGATGGAGACAAAGAACAAAATTCAACAACTGGTATTTATCAAATATGTGAAGTCATTAATACCACAGAAAAAAAAAAGACTGCCTTTAAATGATGTTTTTGTCATCATGCAAGTGTGACACTGCATAAAACAGAAACAAAACAAAAGAAGTAATTCAGTGATCCAACCCAGATCTGAGTAAGAGATAAACAATTATGAATATCTTCATATATGACTATCTAACCCCTGTCAGAAAGAAGTTAAGACAGAGAGGGTTTTCAACATCCCACAAACAAGGCCGTGGACGGCACTAATTATTAAAGTATTTCATTAACCCAATACACAGGGAGAAAAGCGCAGATGGATGCAAGATTATTTGAGGGCAAAAATTGCTATAAAACTCAGAGGCAATCTAATCAAGCACCATAATTCACAAAAGCAGAGACCTGAAGTCAAGAGTTAGAAAAAAAATGCACACTTAAATAGGTGCTTACGTGCTCTATTGAACAGAAATGTAACTCAGGTTTTTTTCTGAACTGAGAGAAAAGTTGGCTGAGAAATTCAGCTGATGGTTGATGAACAATGACAATGAAAAATGCACGACATTTTAATCAGCAAGTCTTCCATCTTATCAGCCTGTACTGTTGTATGAGAGAAAAGGCCATGGGCTTTAAGGGCAGTGGAGACCTTTAGAGACTAATAGCTTTTAATACCGAGTAGCTAATGGCTAGTAGAGGCTAGGAGAGAATGGAGATACAGGGGCAGTTTTGTTATTCATGTAACACACTTGCTTAAAGAGAAGCTTTACAGTAAACAAGACTGCTCATCTATTAAAAACAGTAAAACAAAGCAGCCAAAAATGGATTATAATTTTTATTTTGTGCAAAGTGCCTGCCTCTAGTACACAGGTAAGAGAGGCCAACAAACTGACTGATAATATCCCTATATTGTTCACCGATTTCAGAACACTCAAAACAGAACAAAACTGGAGCAATTTTAGATGAACCATGTTTTTTTTGCTATTACTTCTAAAAAAATTACACTTGTGCTCAACTATTTTATTTACATAAAAACATTATGGAAGCTACAGCCCTAATAACTGGAAATATAAGACCTGCAACACATTGAACATTACCAAAAAATGCTTTTTACTTGCAACTAGAAAAAAAGAACCCATGCAAACAAAATGGTATTCTAAGAAAAATATCTTGCCTTTAAAAAAAGGGTAAAAAGTTCAACTTGTCTGTAGCTGAATAATCTCTAACCCAAATCAACTTAAAATTGCTCTCCATGAAACAGAAACTCTAGCTTTTCATTTTGTAATCTTCCTAGTTGTATCATCACCGCTGAAGGAATTTTCAAGAGAGCTGCGTGCAGATGTACAGATGTACAGCTCTAAATATCAGGCAGGACTGTAAACATACAGAGTCATAAAGGAGACACTGCCAAGCTTAATAAGCCCAAAGGTGAAGACTGTTGAAGAATACCCCATTTACCTTGTTAAGAATTCCACCACTGCATCTCCCAGAAATTCTAAACGCTCGTTGTGGTTAATCCTGAAAAAGGCATTTTAAGGTTTACTATGAGCTGGTTATTTACACAATACAATTAAAATCAAACAAATCAGAGTTGATTGCTAATCAGCCACGACAGACATTCTTGCAGCCTCCCTCAACCTCTCTGGGTTACAGTCCTTTCCAAAACAGAGTAACAACTACCTGAATCTTGAAACTCAGGACTGACATCACCTTTGAAATTTTCATATGTTCCATTCTGAGCTATTGTCAGAGCTTAACAAATGGGGAAGGAAAACAGCACCATTGCTTGGCACTGAGATTGGGCTTCTTTGTCCATCAGAGGGCACCAGGTGATTGAAACAAACAGCCTGTCTTCAGTCTTGGGCATGCAACTAGGGAAGTGTACATAATTAACATCAACACCTGCACAGTGTGATGACTATGCAACAGATCCGCTGGTATGGCAGAGCTACAAGGGAGTAATTACACGTTTAAATGCCCTGTTTTCTGTAATTGTCTTTGAGCCCAGAAGAAAAAGTGGCTGTACAAGATGCAAAGATGTCATTAAACTAGTAGAATTTTATATTTCCTGTGTTCTCCTCTTCTTCTATCACTGCTCCTGATTTTCCTTTGTTTTGCATAAAGTTTTGTTTCCTCTAAACTCTCTGCCTGCTTATGCAACAAAGGATTAACAGGACACAGCACTTGAAAACGTGAGTCTGTCTTTGACTATATACAAATTTCTGCTCTACACATCAAATCATGTAAGTAGCACCATTTTGACTTAACATACGATTGTAATAGAATCAAGGCCATTGCCACAGGCTTTTATATCCAGATGATCCTTCTCAAGTATTTTACAGCTTTTATTGCAATTTGCCCTCCCCCAACAATTATATAGTTAGTCTAATTTCTGAAATAGCAGGCCTTTGTTATGGAGTGAAAGAATTCAAGTGCCTCTGCTGTGTAAAGCAAGGTGTGAGCAAAACTACAATTCCTCTGTGCAGCAACACAGCAGAAAACACAGATCCTTCAGAAATGGGATTTTATATTTGTGTGTTATTTTGTGAGAATTAATTAAATTTAGTCTTATCTCACATTATCTTAAGAGGACTGAAATAAGCTTGAGGCTTGACTCTCAAAGAAAAGGGCATGGTCTAGCTGAAACAGCATTTGGGGAACACTGCAACAATAATTTATTCAGAATTCAACTTCTCCCATTCCTGAGCTTCCTCCAGAATGATGACTCTTAAAAGGCACAGTTATAGCACTAATTAACTAAAATACACTCTGCCCTCTAGTTCATGCATTTAGGAGATTTCACTTGCAACTGCTTATTGCATTAGCCCTAATGAGTTTTGTTTATTCACTTTGGCTAAATATGGTGCTTGTGGCTATAAACCATGTCTTCAACATTATTTATTTGCACAGAATTCTTAGTGGTCACTTAAGGATTATTATAATGGGTTTTGCATATGTCTTTAAGACCAGTAAATCAACAAAGCCCACATTCAGTACCACGTTCATGTTAACGAGGTGCCATGCCAGGAAGGTACTGCTGTGAGGAAACATGATGGAGAATCCAATTTATAGCAATGATAACAATAGCAACAAATCTTATTTTTCAGTCTGCAGAAGGCAAAAAGGTAGTCTTTTAGTCCTCCTCCTTTCAAAGATT